GATTACTTTCATTGTGACATAATGACCGTCGTTTGGGAAGTCATGTGACTCAAATTAAAGTATCCGTTCAATATAAGCGGCATTATTTACACTTACATATGCACATGCACTTGTCGACGCCAAAGAGAAGACCACGTCTCGCTAGTGAACTATTATCTAATTTGTGACCGGATTGACCTTTCCGACATGGTATCAGTCACCCAACGGATTAATTACCTTATCGAACGTGGCCTTTAATCAACTAATTTGAACGTTATAGTCTCCAGAGATATGTAGCTAATGTTTATGGTTTGCATCTGGTGTAATATTATCCATGATTTAAAATACGAAGATGTGTTCATTCACTCGTGTGTGACTTTAGAATTAACCTCGTTCTCGCGACAACGCCAACTTCCGGAATAACTCAACATTTGGGTAGTTCGACGGTTACATACTGGTTGAATACCACAGGCTTCATTTAAAAGTCAAACGTAATGCTTTGATCGTCAGAAGTCGATAAACTAACGATTTACCTATTGTGTATCACATGTTAGTGATATGACTATCCATTGTGGCTAATATATTTGCATTCTGGGCAACATCTGGAGATCAACTGGTGACGTCACCATAACTGTCATGTGATCAAATCGTGTTTCGCAATCGCAACATATATTGTATCATCTGTACACCCAAATAAGTGGGGACAGAAAAAATATGTTTTATGTTTACTCGGCGATAATGGACCATATTCATTCTCAAACTTTTTTATGCTGAGAAGCTTAAAAGCGAATAAAATGCAATGTATTACACTTAAAGTCACCACAGAGCCTGAGCAATCAAAGACCGGCCATTGGGAACTCTCCGTGTACATGTTAGACCAAGCGTATCCTTACTTCAGCTGGCCTTTTACTGTCGCGTAAACTTACGTCTGCGGGGCACAGTGCCCAAGCAGTAAAGCACAATAGTGTATATTGTCTGGTGATGGACTTTCCCGGTATACGGTACCGTCTGATTTATCAAAACACGACACACAAATTGTGTCTGACAAATTCAATTAATTTGTGTTGATGTTAAAACTCGTTTTATATAATCATAGTTCTCTAGATATCTGAGGAGTCTGGACACATTCAAAATTTTACAAAAAAAAATGCGGATGATCTGAGAGTTCCCTCTGATTCTAAAACATCTTAATTGTAAAACATGACATTTACCAGGCAGTTAATCGAAACGGACATAATACAATTAATGGTGAATAGACACTTGCTCTGTGAAAAAGTCGATAGATCCACCAATACAAGCGGCAACTGATGTCTATTAGGCGATGTCCACTCCCGCGTAGTGTGTGCGACAGACCTCGTAGCGACTTAGCTAGCAGCCCTTCCTAAACAGTAACTACTGCAAAAAATATAATGTCTAACTATTCATCCGTCCGTCAGTCCTACAGTGCCGACCTGTATTTCTGTTACATGCATGTAAAGTATAACATGACAACAAACTTAAGGGCGCAAAATTCTGCTATCAACACCAAAAACGAAATAGTGACAAAGATACGTAACAAAAGTTTAGTACTCACTGCAATCACATATTTTGCAGTAAAGAACGCTGTATTGACGACAAAAAATATAATAAGCAGTAGAAAATCAGCGTACATTATTCGTATGCTTTGGACAATATGGCGATCTGACAATACAGAATGCAGGATGCACGAACGGACGGACGGAAGGACAGAGAATATACCTTCATGTTCTTCCAGTTGTATCGATAGGGCAAATATGGACACACTAAATGGAATCCTTGTGGAATGAATGAGAACTGACGAACGGACGGAAATCTTCTACTCCTTCAAGAAGAACCGATAGGGACTGACGGACATATTGAAAACCGATGGTTGACTTACAAACGGTCGGATAGAAAACATTCTTTCTGTTTCTTCCGGAGGTACCAGTGTGGCACTGATGGACAGACGAAATGCAAACCGTCACCTTTTCCAGGATGTATCTATGGGACAGTGATGCTGATGGACGTCCGGAACGTAAAACTTAAAAAATGTTCCCTCAGGATGTACTGATGGAATGTCACTCGCAACATGTTTCTGACAGCATTTAGTGATTTACGTGGAAATATACAAATATTTTTAATTTCGCACCGTCTATGGACCAGCGAACACTTTCTTGTTTCACCGTAGTGGCTTGTTAAGAACTACACTGCTCCTTGCCGCAGGGACCTTGCCGTCAATTACCATACGTTGTTCGGTACGACTTCATATCAATTATCCGAGTCTATCCTGTTCAAAGGCACTTGAAATTAAATAGCATTGTTTTCTCTTGATCACAGAGGTCTGATATCATAAATTACCATATTATATCAGAATACTGCGATAACATAGACTTTGTATCAATCTTATCCAGTCTGTCTAACTACGTGTCTAGATAGCATCTTCAACATTTCTTAACTAAAACCATATCCTGTATAAGCAGACACTGATTGTTATGTCACGTGTTCTAGAGAGTAAACAATTAAATATATATATATGTGAATTTCGCAAATCCAATCTTTTTTACAAGTAGAAACAGGTAAATGGAACGAAATTCACCAGGAAGCTAGAATTTGCAATATATGTACTGATGAAGTATGTGATGAATTTAAATATAATAATCCACGTGTTTGTCAGTTACGGCGTAAATTTATTCCGCAAAATTATTCAAATACCCGAATTTGCATAAAATGAAGGGTGTGTTTACTTTATGTAATGTTAAATACTGAACAATATTAGCTTCTTTAATGGAAAAATGGCTTAATTACTGTAAGGCCATCCTGTAACATCGTTTCTCTTCTGATATATATATATATATATATATATATATATATATACGTATGTATACTCAATGAAGTAATAACGACAGCACGAGCAAGAAATTGTGAAATTTACCAGGCAATCTGCCCCTCTATCAAGACACAAATATTACATAAATCTTATCACTAACACAGAAAATAAACTAAATATAAATTCATAAAGTGAAAAAATACATATATATATATACATACATATTTCTCTGCATCGTGTATTTGTTATCAATTATTGATAAGACCATCTGTATTGTCGTTTCTTTAATGATATACATAAACTGATAAGTGCATTGTTAATGTATATCTATTACTAAGTACAGCTGTATTGATTCGACTATTCTGCATTGTCTATATGAACTCTTGTAGCACATATATTTGTGTGAGTATTATCAAGAAACTTGAAACTTGGAGAAACTGACGTAATTTCGCACGCAATCTAATGACGTAGCAATTTGATGACGTAGCAATCTGATGACGTAGCAATCACTACCTGCTCACGTGAGTAGATAACTCTGCATAACAAAAAGACGGACTACCTGGCCCTGACCATAGGGACTTGAGAGTCGGAACGACAAAGTAGGGTACAGTAATTACAGACGAAGATCAACAACAGGTGATGAAATCTCATTTTATCATAATGTTAATAAAGCAAAACTTTGGGATTGTTAAAATTTACAATACCACTTGAGTTTAAGAACGGGGAGGTCGATGCTGACGTGGTTGTGACCTTGCGTAGGGCAGCGTATCCCTATAGCGTTGATGACATGCGGCGGACATCCCGCTTGTTGTTCAATGAGGTATTTGTAGATACCGATACTAAAATGAGACCCCGCTGAGCCTAACCGTTCACTGGTCGATAAACCTAACAAACAAACAGCCATTATGTGCAATTAATTCGCATGCCCCTGTGCTTACAACTCCACATGTTACACCATTTCTCCCTTGCTTCAGCCTATTTTACAAGAAGCGTATATAACATGCCTAAAGTGTACGTGTTATACATAATAAATATTTACATTGAAAATACCTCCATATCCGTCCATTAAAAGGTATGTTCTAAATCGACCTGGATCAACGCAGTGCATGACAGCCCGTCATCTCTACTGCCATAAGCGTCCCTCCCTTATTCTCGCTCCAGAGAATTCCTCAATCACATCAAGTTACTAGAACCACTGTTCAGACTGTCGCCGGCGGAGAGCGAGGTAGTGTTAATTTGGATTGACAGTAGATCTCACCTGCCGCGCGCCTGTCTCACCAACACATGTATATATATATGAGTGTGAGTGTGTACGTGTAGATGTTTCAGTCACAAGGCAGTGATGCATTACAATCGAGAGAAACAGTGTTACCTGTGGCAGGCATACTATATTCACATCACCTTTGTTTTAGTTATTTGAATCGCCTTGTTTAAAATGAATCGTATCTGATTCTTGTATGTAGTTGGCCCCGAGGAATTTAGCATCTTTGATGTGGAGTTTTGATATTGTGATACAGACAAATGTAGTGATTCTTTCCTACTGCAACACTTATCACTGTTTCAGGAGAGTCACGGCCTTACTATTTCATCATTACGAACACGTGACCTCTTACAACAGACCGACCTCAGCAATCTGACCGTTAGTTCAACTGTATACCTCAAAACATGTAAATAAGATTTTAATTCTCCTAAATCTCGGTGCCAAGCTGTTGATTTTGTTCCCTTGTGAATAACGAACATGATTTTTTACAACGAAGTTGTGTACAATGGTTAGAGACCTTGTACTGAAAAGATGGTCATTTTTCACAGGTGTCGAAATATACAAACACGCGGTAAATTCCTGGTATACATCATACTGGCAATACCTACATACGTTTCGCACCATATAAAGCAATCCAACGCACACTGATGAATATTCTCAGACCAATTAGACAATTAGCAGTTAGTCCATTAACCGTATATATACATCTTCCGTGTGACACTTCAAAATTACGTCATAGCTACATTTTTGTCACGTGAGTCAAGATGGTCTGGACAGACGAAGGATAGACTGTATAAATTCCCCCGATTATTTCCGTGTTTGAAGTTTGACATATCCTATTTGTAATCTGTGGGCGATTTCTTGTAACAGTCAAACGATTGAGATGATGTCGACATGAATATGTATATTATACACCATAAGAAAAATATTACTTACCTTATCAGTGTCAGTCCGTAGTCTGTTGTTCAAATTAATTCACACGGCACACAGAACTTGTCATTAATATGAAATCCAGTAAAAATAAAGGAGAAACAGCGGTTGAATTATGTATTTGGGAGGCGGTATAGATCCATTGCTTACACACACACGTTTACGGCGACTGTCGTTACACCGGCAGCAACAATGCGCATGCTCGCCTTGGATGGGTTTGACAGCGTGTCACGGGAAGTAAACTGACATCCGAAAGTCAGACATCATTGGGAAGTTAGGAGACTGCTGTGTGAGGCAGACTAGGAGTGTAAGATATGAGAGGATTAAAATAGACTTCACTGCAGGAAACCCCCGTAGTAGATACAAGTACAGACTTACACTAGGAATAAATCGGGAGCTTAAATGTACACATATACAACCGTTTGATATCAGATGTTCTTATTAATAAAATCGTACCGACACCTGCGATAACAACTCCAAACTCCCACTTGAAGCAAACTTTATGGAAAAACAACGACCAACATCGAAGCTAACACTTAAATATATTTAAAACTAAATTTTCATTTTCTTCAATTTATTTATTTTTGCATAATATTTTATGATTCGTGTTTGTAATACAGCCAGACCTTACACCTTAACTGAAATCTTCCTGAACTGTTTTATGAAATATATTTGAGAAATGAAAAAAGTTTTTATCCTTTTTATTTAACGTATATTTGAAACACATGTCGATATTCAACACCTCCCAGTTTAATCTGGCAGAGCTGCTATCACGCGTGTAGTGTTTTACACTCATACATAAACATAAAACCTGTTTTTGATTTGGATGCTACAACAACTTCCTGCTTCAAATTACGAAACGGTTTCTTTAATTGAATGATTGATTGATATGATTTTGATTTAAACATATTTTATTGCATATAAGTAGGAATAGGATTGGGCACACATTTTGCATGTCCTTTCTAAAAATACACACATTATATTAACAAGGTGGCAGTAGTATATAATAACAATAAAACAATTATAAACAAGGAGACAGATTGACAGACAGAAAGACGGACGGAAGGACGGGCAGACAGACAGATAGACAGACAGACAGACAAACAGACAGACTGATTCTGTATCTTGTTTTTAAGGTGTAGGTCATAACAATGGGTTTACGTTGCCAACTTTTTTAAATTGTGACGTCATAACTTAAAACCGTCACAAATATTGTAAGGCCACGAAAGAGGCTTATGTGAGGTCTACTGAGAAGCCACGAAAAAGGGCTGTAAGGAGTGAAACAAGCATCACACAATTAGCTTTGCTGAAATTGATGAGATCTTATCATGAATTTTACCTTCTATTTTTCTTTTATCTAACTAAGGCCCCTTATGAATTAATATCTTACCGTGTTCATTTTTTTTCAAAGTTGAATATCAACACAGGAATCGACATCAAACATGTTGTCACTTCAATTGACCTAAGACCTTGTAGTTAAAGCAAATCACATCCGCCACTATTACTATGGCACACAACTTTGACAACATGTATTTAAATATCTTTGTGTGTGTGTGTTTTTGTCAAGGCTATTTAAGTGTTTGCATCAAATGAAGGTCTAACATGTCACTCGAAGCGATGAATAGGGTTAAAATGATGTGAAACTAATACCTGTAGATAATGCGTTTGAAAGGTTTGTGTGTGGTTCTTTTTATGGTTTACGTGCGGCCTGGTAAAGAAATTGCATATATTTAAGCATGAGATTACTTTCAGTTGGCATTCACGGACATATGAATGTCAACAGGTTAAGGGCAAATTCATTGAAGCGCGTCGGCGCTTCATGTTGAATATATATTGATCCAGTTGGTATTTATAGCTCAGGAATGCGGAAGCAGTTCTATACTTGTATTTGTCTGACCGTAAGAGAAGACAACCTCAGTTTTTGTTACATTATTTGCAGTTTTCCTAAACTGTTTGAGCTGACAATGCACAACTGACTGCGGTAAGGTTACATCGTAACAACACAATGCTGTCAACAGAAGTTTGTTGCGCTAAATGTTGTTAACATTAAAAATTCTGTCCTCTGTAAGGAAGTATATTACTACCTTTCACACAAAAGTACATTACATTTAATCCATAACACGACAGCCTGTAATAAAGTATCAAAAGTTACAGTCCGTGACAGGATAACCTTTACAACCACTTTGCACTTAGTTCGGCGTTCATGTTACAGCCGGTGACAGAATACCTGTTGCTACGACTGATGCACTTGTCTAATCCTTTAAACCCATCATCTACATATCTTTTCATGGCTGTAGAAAGACCGCCTGGTGGTTGATGATGCCTTTCTAATTTTACAGAAATGGAATTAAATATATGCATCCGCATGTTTGGGTGTTATCATCCTACGTGCGATCCGTTTTCATGTTTCATAACAGCTGTATTGTTAGGGTGTCAGGTTTTACCTACTTTCAATAGAGCGTACTTGTTTCGTTGAAACATTTTTTGCGTGTTTAAAACGTTATCAAGGTAAAACTCATATTTTGAAAGTTTTTTTTTTTTTTAATTTTGCTTAGATACCAAGTTTGTCACATTATGAATAATGACAATTGACTTTCGCTGAAATACACACACACATAAAGAAATTAATCAAAAATATATAAAAGAAATCCTTATCAGTTGATCAACAGTCTAGATGTGTATATTTTTGCGTCATATATGACGCATGCGCATAAAACACCGTTACCAGTAAACAAAAGTGGCTTCCCGTCGTGAATATCGGATAGGGTAGAAACGTACATGGAAATGTATTAATCACGTACAATAAGTAACAAAATCAATGTTTTCACCGTGATGTCCCTTTAAATACAGGCAAACTGGCTAGACATATATATATATATATGTATGAACATCGCGGTGTCACTACTACCAAAATGTATGTTGGTTTTCGGTAACGAAGCTACACGTCCTACCATGTAAATGTTTACATACGATATACTGCCACTGTCTTGATTATGATAAACAGAGTTACGACCCTTAGTCGACTTCTTCAATCTACTACTCATGAATTTTTCCAAGTAGTACGTCTTCCAAATGCGCTTATTCCCTTCAATGTAATTAAAATCTCGACTTAACTATCTAACATGTTGTTACAAATATGCATAGATTTACCCCCAGCAGTGTTACATGTGTTTTGCTATAAATTATAGTTTTACTGAGTAACCTAACAGAACATGCAATGACTGTTACTAATCTCAACTGCATCAAAACTTAATGAAATTGGGAAAACGTTGACTTATTGTATTAGCATCGTTAGATGTGTAACGATTCTGTATTACACCACAATACCATCCGAATCTGGTACTGCTATTATATGTTATAAAATAAAATCAACGAAGGCTTCAGTTTCATTAAAGTATTTGATTGGTTCAAGTTATAATGAATTGACCAATCGCTCGGCCGACAGTATGGAAGAAGAGCTGCAAGTATAAGCTGCCACAGTTATGCTTTCAAATTCTACCTGAAAAATCCGAAAACATATGCATTAATCAATCATCCGCAAGATTGAAATTTTACAATCCACACAAATCATTCACAATATAGCGCTATTATATTTTAAGACACCAATCATCCGCAAGATGGCGCTGTTATATATAACACCAATTATACGTAAGATGGCGCTCTTATGATTATACCAATTTTCTGCTAGAAGGCGCTGTTGTATTCTACACCGATATTCGCAATTATAAGCCACTATTTGCTTATTGTTGGTGGATTATTGCTGTTAGATTATTGTGATTTATATATGATGAATAGAAATTTAAAAAAATAAACAAAAGCCAGAAAAAGGCGAAAAACATTATATCCTATCGTATGTCTATATTTTATGTTCCTGTCACTCCATCCGCACACCTGCGCGTAGCTGTTAATTTATATATAAGTGCGACAAATAATTCTAAAATTGGTGTTGTGCTGATCACTATGGAAACCGGGATAAACACGATTTTGTATTTGCGTATTTGCCCTATATCTCTTTCCACCATCTTTTAATGAATTTTCCCGTGTTTTGGCATCATTCGATATACAGGCGGTTTTTAATCTGTTATATGCCTTGTATGCTGTCTCTTTGCTTTATCCGACATTGATAATTGACATTTTGTTAAATTTTATTTTTATATTGATGCATTAGTATATCTTTCGTATGTGGACGCTTTTGTCAATAGTAACTGACGCTTTGGTAATTTTGGCTTTTTATGTTGACGCTTTGATTAATATTTTCCTCGTATTTGGACGCTTTGTTGAGTTTGTCCTTATGTGCTGACACTCCTATTTATCCTCGCTTTATCTAAGGATGTTTTCTTAATATTGTCCGACGTTGACGCTTTGATGATTTGTTCCTTGTGTTGACACTTTGGTGATTTGTTCCTTGTGTTGACACTTTGTTGATATGTTCCTTGTGTTGACACTTTGATGATTTGTTCCTTGTGTTGACGCTTTGTTGAGTAGTTCCTTGTGTTGACGCTTTGGTGATTTGTTCCTTGTGTTGACACTTTGGTGATTTGTTCCTGGTGTTGACACTTTGGTGATTTGTTCCTGGTGTTGACACTTTGGTGATTTGTTCCTTGTGTTGACACTTTGGTGATTTGTTCCTTGTGTTGACACTTTGGTGATTTGTTCCTTGTGTTGACACTTTGATGATTTGTTCCTTGTGTTGACACTTTGGTGATTTGTTCCTTGTGTTGACGTTTTGGTGATTTGTTCCTTGTGTTGACACTTTGGTGATTTGTTACTTGTGTTGACACTTTGTTGATTTGTTACTTGTGTTGACACTTTGTTGATTTGTTCCTTGTGTTGACACTTTGGTGATTTGTTACTTGTGTTGACGCTTTGTTGAGTAGTTCCTTGTGTTGACACTTTGGTGATTTGTTCCTTGTGTTGACACTTTGGTGATTTGTTCCTTGTGTTGACACTTTGGTGATTTGTTCCTTGTGTTGACACTTTGGTGATTTGTTCCTTGTGTTGACACTTTGGTGATTTGTTCCTTGTGTTGACGTTTTGGTGATTTGTTCCTTGTGTTGACACTTTGGTGATTTGTTCCTTGTGTTGACACTTTGGTGATTTGTTCCTTGTGTTGACGCTTT